CAACTCACAGCTCCTCTCTGCCCCCACCCCAAGCCTCTGTACTAACTGTGCTTCCTCCTATGATTCCTGGTACCAGCTGGTCCACACCCGGGATGTCCAGGCCAACACCTTTAGTGGCTCCCTCCCAGCACACATCCAAAGTCCCTAGCATACAATGCAAAGCCTCAGTGGCCAGCCTCTCGGTCACTTGGGTCGTTTCTCCCATCCTCCAACTTAACCTCCGCTCAGATCTGATCTCCTGCTCGTGCCTATTAGCTCCCACCCATCTCCCCCGTCTCCCAGTCACACTGAATCAATGTCTTGTTTGGCAGATTTCTGGGCTGTTTTGATTCTTCTTGTCCCTCAGGATTCTGTGACCTTGGACACTGGCCCATACCTCTACACTCGTACTTGTCCTCGAGCAGAGACTGAACGCCAGGTTACATTTTTCTGTTACTCTCTGTCATGAAGAAGAACATGGCAGTCAAGCTTGTGTGTGGGAAGGTGGCAGAATACAGAATAAGTACGGACATGTGTTCCTCTGTGAGGAGCACTTACAGACCAATCGGTAAAGTAGACTCACACAAGGGAAGCAGCCTTGGAGAAAAGACAATAAAATATTTTAAGTGCAAAGTTACAGGGCACAGAGTTAGAGAAGAGTAAATAATATTAGCTTTATTGCCCTTTTATCACTTTGTGTTTACCCTGAAAACAGCTTCTTCTGTATTCCTAAGAACTATACCCTCTTCTGGGCCCTCATTCTGTCCTGTTCTTTATTTTATCCTCTAAAGATCTTGATTTCTTGTCTTGAAAATGATTTACTGTTGCCTCTACTTGCCAGTCCCTAGTCCCAGATCCAGGGCCCTGCCCCCAGGTTGGTGGCTGGGTCTCTCTCTTCCTGGCAAGTTTCCTTAATGCCAGAGCCTGTCTGTCTCCTCAGCTCCATGGCCATCCCTCATTCAAGTGGGCAGCTCCAGTGCCAGGCCTGCCTAAGTTCAGGAACTCAGCCCAGAAAGGTTTGTCTCCAAGGAGACACAGCACAATGTCCCCTTGTGCTATTCCCAGGGAAGTGTTTGAACAACCCCACGTTAATCAGGAAGTCAGGGGCTCTGAGAGAGGAAGGGTGTCAGGCTATGCCCTCAAATCAACTTATTTACCAAATGCTTACCTGTGAATAACACAAAACCTTCTACTTTTCAAAGCACTTCTAAATCTATTATTTGCTCTCTATAAGGGTCAGTGAGATAAATTCGTCCACTATTAGAATTAAATGACAGAAGTGAAAATTGAAATTGAAAAGGATAATGGAACTACCAAAGATCATATAACCAGGCCTGAGTTCTTGTCTCCTGCTTCCCAGGCCAGTATTCTTTCTTCCATATTATGTCAGTGGGTCAAGCCTGTAGGTAGCATCTAGCTGAGAATCTCAGGGTTGGAATGACTTTAAACGACATCTAGGCTAATAATGTAATCTAGAGACTCTAAATGTCATCTAGGCTAACGTCATTATGCTGGAGCCCCTTAGGAAATGCCCTGCCAAGTGGTCAGCCTGCCTCTGCTTCAACAGGCCCCATAGCCACACACTCTACCTTCAAACGTCTCTGAATATTAATAAACTCTTCCTTATCTTGAGCTCAGATCTAACTCTCTAATTTTATATCCGTTCATTGGTTATATCTGTTGCATCCAAGCACAAACATGCATGTGTACACACACACACACACACAAACACACACATGCCATGAATCTCTCTTTCCCACCACAGCCGTCCAAAGATTTGCCCCCTAATAATCTCTTTTCCATGCTAAACATCCCCTGCTTCCTTTACTCTTCCTCCAGTGAGGGGATTTTCATGCCCTTGATTGTTCTGGCCTCTATCCCCCCCGTCTCCTCTAGTCACTTCTCACAGCGTGGCAGATGACATGACTCCAGCACCCTCAGCCTAGCCTCCAGTCTGGACAAGATCCCCACACTGAGGTCTGCCGACCTTGCGAGAACGTGGCTAGTCTACATCTTAAAGCAGGATCTAGAGGAGCAAGAATTAGAACAGAGATTCTGAAACACACTCACCAAGAATTGGAACTGGTTTTTGTTCCTCTGGCTCTGCCAAGTATTTCAGAAATTCTAGCAAGCATGTGCTCATCTGAAGAAGACAACTCAAACCACAACTAATTCTGCAGATTGCCCAGCTGATGCTTCATCACAGTGCCTCCTGAGTAGGAGGAAAGGTAATGATTCACAGATACCAATGGCTCAGCCTCATCAGATGGAGTAACTAGAACAATGAGTTGTGCTTCAATTATCCCTACCCAGAATCAGCACAGTTCAAGAGCCTGTTATTCACAGAGGGGCAGCCTAAGCAGCATACCTGAGCAGGGGAATTGTTTCTCTGGCCTCTTGATTCAGTTGGTTGGGTTTTATCTGTTCTCCTTTTCCATTCGTTTACATTACAAAGTAATTTCAAGACAACCTGGTAGATGAGGGAGAGCAGTTCCTAGATGCACATGGGGTGGCCACAGCATGGAGGGCGAAGTCCTTCAGGAACTACTGCTGGCTTGGCTGCAGGCAGCAAGGAAAGACGGCAATCTTGCCTCTGCACTGGGGAGCTCGGGAAGCCTATGGTCTGGGTGTTCTTTCCCGGTGCCTTGGTCCTTATCCTGTACTTGTAGGGACTGAATTCGTGCTTGAGACCAAGCCCTCAACTTATATCCTAGGTCTGGGAACCAGGTTTCTGATTTGTTCTTTGTACCTGGTTTCCAGCCCAGTACTCTCATCTTAAATGATGGTGCCTGCCATACTCTTAACAGCCTTCCCTTTCCCTAGAACCCCAGGACTGCAGCCAGGGCCCTGCTACCACCTGCCAGACTCTCCTGATGCCAGTACTGCTTGAGTCTCTGCAGGATCTCTGCACCCAGTCTCCCCAGCACTGGCTTCCACCCTCCCAGCAGGCCCTCAGACCTTTACTCCATGTCCCACCTCCCAAAGCCTACCCTTTGCTTATCCTTGTACCTAATGACTTACCTCCCTCTAGCAGGATACATTGCTTTCTCTGCTCCCTGCAGCATCTGGGTTGACACCAACCCAAGCCCACGGACCAGTTTAGCTTCCCAGGCCCTCCAACTCTGTCTGGTCTTGCCACTTTCCAAGATCCTTTCTGCGCAAAGCAGCTTTAGAGAGAATGGATGAGAGGATAAGCTGCAGAAGGGTGCTGTGCAGCCTGGTGACCCTGATCTAGACGAGAAAGGGGGATGTTGGCACGAGGCATCCAGAATCTGTTCCCCCAGCCCAAGCCACAAGCTGTTGGTGCTACTTCCCCCCCAAACCCGCACCCCCATTCCTGTCTTGCCTACCCAGCACTCTGACTTCTGTCGCAGTGAGCACCGGGTCAGCCCCGTGGACACCAAGACAACGTCATTAAGTAAAGGTTGCAGTTTAAGTGCTATTGATTTTTTCTTTGGAATAAATTGATAGCAACTAACAAATGACCCCCACGTTATATTTGCCAGCTCTGAGGGTATTTGAATTCAGGAAAACAACTGGTACTTAGTTATCTTGGGGCTGTATTTAAATTCACAAAGAACTATTTTTGCCCTGTGGTGATTTGTTTTACAAAAATAATAACTCTCCCATTTGCTAAATGATGTGATAAACAAAGATACAGCTTCTCCTCTTCTATCACTACCTCCAAAATTAAATTTAACAACAATACTCTGCTTAGGCAGAGAGAACAAATGGGCTAGTTACTCATTCATGGAAAATAGGTAAAAAATTTTCAGTGACTATTTCTTTGAAGTGTCTACTTCAAGAGATTTGATGGGGAGTAGGTTACAACGTGAGTATCCAACCTTTTAGAGAGAAAGAATCAGGAGTTTCCACCAAGTGGCTGCTTATCAAATGCCAATACAAAGTGTGCCCCAAAACAAGCTGAGCTTATCTCCAGATTTCATGTGCTTCACAACCCATCCTACGTTTGAATGTCATAGCCACCTTTGCAAAAACAATATTCTTTAGTTAATCTAAGTTGAAAAAAATTAAGTGAAAAGATTCTTCGCTATTCTCTAGAAAAAAGAAGATATTTTTCTTGAGAAAAACACTGGTGAGGATAAAGGCAAGTATTGTTTTAGATTCTCTCCAATTTCCAAAATACCATTTAAAAAATAATTACACCCACAATTTATGCAGTAATCATTAGACAGCAAGATAAAATGCACTGCTAAATTTTAATTGCACTGAAAGAGTAGACATCATGAAATATACCCACAACTTCTTGGGGTTATAACCCAATCCAGTAATATCTTTGCCACAATGTAAACCTTGTCCAAATAGTCTATCTTGATTACATAATAATAGTATTTTAGTTTCATGATTTGATAGCCTTCTAAAGAATATTTTTAGTTAAGCAAGTAGAAGGTCAAATGATCTATTATCAATATTTAAGCTTTTTATTGTGAAAGTTAATAGGCTTGAATGACAGGATTCCCTGCAAAAATGATAGGAATGTCATCTCATAAAAAAAAACAATTCAGTTATCTGCAAATGAAAGTGTTTTTAAAAACTATAGTTATCTTCCCCCTCACCCCACCAAGATAAGAAGAGGATGATATTTGCATTACACAGACGCAGGCAGGGAATCTGCCCCTCATACACTGTACCCTCTCCATTACCCATACTGATTCCAGCTGAAGTTAGGGAAGAAGTGTTCATTACATAATAGATATGATATCTTACATAACATACAACAGATGTGATAGACAAGCTCTTGCGGGATGCATACGGCTTGTCAGAAGATGTAGCTGCTGAATGACCACTCTGAGGAGCCGGGTTGGGAGAACGAGCACCTGCAATTGGATTTCATGGTCTTATGACAGCAAGGGCTGCTGGGATCCCTGCCCATCCCTTCAGGCTGTGAAGGACATCTACCATTCGGCTCAGATTCTGGCAGCCGCCTCTGCAGAAGGAGCAGGATTAAGAGGACAGGCGCAGTGCTGGGCTCTCCCCACCACTCTCGTTCGCACACGTACCTGTGGGCTTTAATGGCGTCGTCTCTCCTAGCAACAGTTTTAACCTTTTGGCATGGATTTTGCCTTGATAATGTGAGTCAGCCACCACCGCTGAGGTAAAAGACATGTTACAGAGTGTGCAACATTTGTTCTTATCCACCATATCAGCATCGCTTCCCTGTGAGGGGAGAGAGGAAAAGATGACATTAGAGAGAACTCCAATCCTAAGTTTCCTTTGTTAAATGAGATTTAGCACTTTCGTATTGAAATGTCTAGTTTTTGTTCTGCCATCTCTTTCTTCCTTCACGATAATCATCATTAAGATGTACTCAGTGACGGACTTCAACCGACATTTATTTAGTGGCTACTTCTGCCAGGCACCAGGACTACAGGACAAATGGGCAGAGATGAGTTACCTGGAGAAAAACGGGGCCCACATTAGGTGAGAACACATTAGATCTGGCACCATGAGGAAAATATCCTCGAACGGCACCCATTATACTCATTAAAGTAAGTAAAATATCAGCATTCAGATGGCCTGAATTATTTAGCAGAAATTGTCATTTGCCATTCAGCTCTGCCTTTGACCAATTTTTGCCTCACCAGGATACACGGCCACATGCTCAAGGTTTTTTTTTTTTTAATTTTTTTAAGGAAGTGAACATTTTTCATAATTAACTCGAGTATATATCAAAAAGCTATGATGACCATGCTAGCTGAATTTTTGAGGAGAGTTTGTGTAATTTTCCTTTTCTTCAGGAAAGGTGATTAGTTAAATGCCACACAAAATACTTCAATCCAGCTTGATTTTTATTCTTTTGTAAGACTTAATGAAAATGAATCATGATCCAGAAAAAATAAATCCTTTGTCAGACCATGTGACCTGGCTATTGTGCACACAGATCATCAGTTACCTATATTATGCAAGGGGAAGATTAATCCACTGGCTCCCCTCCTGCCTAGTTAGAAATTGAAGGTACAGTGGACTCCCAGATAAGGAGCTCATCTGCTCCTTAATGGAGCAGCAACAGCAAAGCATCTCTTTGTTAAAGAGCAGCCTTGGATGAGGATCTGGCCCGGAAATAGCCCCTTCTCTTATTCCTAGCAGGCCCAAAGAGTGCAATTTAAAATGGCATGGGGATGAGGAGGAGAGTGGGGATGGGATGGAGAAAGGGAATTAGATATTTTTCTGCATAATAATAAAATGTCTAGACTGCTGGAGAGAGTGTTGCCTTGCAAATGATGTGACAGTTAGAAAACTAACTCCTTCCTCCTTATGGCATTAGTCTGTCATATCTCTGATAATTAGCCCTCGTGCCTGGGAGAAGTGGTGTGTGTGTGTGTGCGCGCGTGCTCCAGGAGGCTGGCCTGCAGTTCAGGGGTGGGGACAAGGGAGAGACTTCAAAAGGGACTCTATGCAATTTGGAGTTACAAAGCCCCACCTACTGTCATTTATTCTCTTGACTTTAGAATATTAAATTTCAGTGCGCCCCACCCCTTTATCATGGTTAACGAGTGAGATTTGAGGAAGTGTACTGCCAGGCGCTGGGGGAGGGGTCAGCGAGAGGAAAGGGATCCTATGGAGAGAGGAGGGCTTGCCCAATGGTCCTCTCCTGGAGAGGGACAAAACTTAGGGCAGGACACCTGGGCAGGCACTGAGGCTGTGTCCACTGAGTGTACCTTGCTGAGGGTTAAAAGTCGAGGTGCTTCGAGTTTTTTCCTCAGTAAAGAAAGAAATAAAATAAACACTTTTACACCTTCGTGTGGTACACTGTGGAGACTACCTGGGCCAGGCAGTAAAGGGCAGAGTCGCCTCCCCTCACCCACCTCTAACTAAGCCTAGGAGATGCCACAGAACCCATGGAGGCGGTAGAGCCCAGGAAAACCAGGAGATGACAAATCAGGGAGTCATGGGCTCCAGTCACGAGGAGCAGATAGCTCAGAATGTCTGAAAGACCCAGGCTGGTACTTTCCCACTACCTGTTAGAGGATATGAGTCCTACATTAAAAAAAACAAGGAAAGTTGTCAAGGTGACAGAGGATGCTTGAATTATACACTTTTCACTGACTTATGTGTGATATAGATCAAAGCACATAATTTTTCTTAAAATTAGGCAAGAGATCATAAGGCAAAGTTTAACTCACAATCTACATCTATTTAGAATCTGTGCATCCCTTCTGCCACTTCCAGCAAAAGCACTGGCCACGCCCAGTCCCCTCTCCCTGGAGCTCTAACATACACATGTTTTTACAGAAAGACTGGAAGCCCAGACACAGGGGCTGGCATCACTATACGAAGTGTACTCAGAACTGGTTTCTAGGGCAAAGAACTGCCCTTAAACTGATAATGATCCATGGATTTATGGTATTCATTCATTCAACACATTTTTAAGGAACTACTAAATATGTAAGATGCTGTATTAGATGAATATAAGTCTGCTCCCTGTTATCAAGAAGGTTGGGACCAGGAGAATTGGAGAAGGCAGACAGAAAATATAAGGAAAGTATTATAATCAAGGAAATAAGAGTCTCCTATTGGACTCACACTCTCCCAATTGTAAGGAAAAAGACCATTCATGTAAATTAAGCCTATTTGTGTGGATTTTCATCTTCAAGCCTTTCTCATGCCTGAACGCCCTCCCTCATCACTTCTTGTCTAATCCGGTCTTTGCAGAATCTGTCTTCATGACTCAGTTTATAATCACTTCCTTGAGGTGAAGCTTCTTCTGCCTCCCTCCTCTACTGTACTGCAGAAGTGGCACCAGCTTTAGAGTCCTGTATGTTTTCTGTACATACTTCTTGAACGATAGCATACCCAATTATTACATTTATTTTCTTCATATTTAATCACCTTATGAGCCTTCAAAATTCCTTCAAGGTCAAGAAAATCATCTCATTGATATTGAAGCCCAGCACAAACACAGTGCTTGCCACACAGGGGGACCTGCAGATGTTTAATGAATGAATGGAGCTCATATTAGTTTGTGGGGTTAATAATTTGCATGATGTAAAAGTCAAAAGAGGAGATAAGTAAGGCAAGGAGATCAATTGTAAGCCAATATCCTTCAGTCTCACAGGAAGATGGCCAGAAAAAGAACCAGAGGTTCAATAATTTATTAACTAACTTGAGAGTTCAAGTAGGGGAACATTTTCCCAATATTTATGTTAGTTTCATGATAGTTTTAATATAAATTCCTAGATTTCTGCTCTCCTGCACAATCTCCTTCATATCATATAGAAGAATTAAAGAATAATAGAAGAGGAGAACCAAGTGTTATGCAAGAAAATATCACGGAATGTAGTATGCCATAATTGTAGAAGAGGGACCAAGAAAGTTTAGGTACCTGACATAGAGGGACTATGATGCTCTGAAAAGTTAGGCAGCTTTTGAGGCAAGCAGGACATGCTTTATGGGATATTTTACTAAAGGAGCCAATGTAACTCACATGATGCAATTGTAAGTACCACAAACTCTAACTGTTCTAATGACCCTGATGCAGACACAACTCCCCAGAAAAAAGCTCAATATTAACCAAGTGCCTGCCAAGTACTGGAATTTAATTGTGTATTCTCGGCTATCTAAATCCCAAATTAAAGGCTCCTTGCAACTACGGATCATATCATCTTTACTACAGTCTCCTTCTGCACTCAGAGCAATATTGATAAACGGTACAGGATAAAAACTCTATAAAGTTTGATGAACTGACCTCAATAAAAATACATTCAAAGTTTCTGGCCTAAAGAATTGAGAATGGGCCCAAGCTATCAAGTAAATGAAGGGGCAACCTTCATTTGTCTTAAATTGTCTTAAAATATGGGTTTCACTGGAGGTAAAAATTCAGTTAGACTTTTTCAGCGCAATGTCCACAGTGCCGGAAGGAAAAAGTTTGTGGAGTATCCTAAGGCTGTTTAGTCAAAGAATTTTGCAAAATTAAAAGTTTTCAGAAGAATCCAATAAAGATACAAAAGCCTAGATGACTCTGGCCAGAAATCTAGTCCCAAAGACCTTTCTCTTTTTTTATAAGGATATATTTTTTTTTTACTTAATTCAGGTAACTGCCTCATTCTCTTTACTTTATGTCAATGTAAAAAGCCTAAAAGAGAGATTTTCACTTCCATAATGTCAGAGTGAGGAATTCTGTGAAACTGCTCCCCAGCAAAACAAGCATAACTGGTGAAAAATATTTTTAAAAAAAAACAAACAATTATTTAAAGTTTCTGGAAATTATCCTAAGAGTAAACAAAATTAAGAAATATTTATTCAAGAAAATACATTAAATCTCAGTAAGAACACAGAGAGTCTATGGCACATCAGCCACAACTCTCTCCCTCCCTACCAATCCCCCAGGTCAGCATGAAGAAAGCTCCACCCTGGTTGGGTGGGTCAAGAAAATAGAGCTCCCTCTCCCATCAATTCCCAATCAAAAGATATAAGGAGGGGCAGGCCACCAGCAATTATCATGTCCCCTTCACCTTCACCTCCAAGATGCAGAAGCTAAATTCCTGGAAATGTAGCCAAGATATCAGGTACTCTGTTCTTCCACCCACCCTCATTCATAGGACAGAGGCTCTATCCCAGGCACAGGAGGCCAAGAATATTGGGACCCTGATTGCCCATGCCCCAGTTCACTTGTAGGACAGAAGTCTCATGCCAGGAGAGACAAGGGGAAGACTAGAGGCTGCCACCTCTGCCCAGCTAATACAGCAGGCTGTCACTCTGAAAGAGGCAGGCCACTGCCCTTGTTTCTGGTCTGAAGCAGTGGCTCAGAGATTTTTCCATTAGAACAAAGAGGAAAGAGGGAGTACATAAGAACAGAAAGATCCTAAACTCTCCCCAAAGGAACTGACTTTATTTGAAATAGAGTGTGGGAAGATTTAAGTGTAAGGGTGCTCTCAAAAATGATGGATATTTTGGTGGTAAGCAATTAAGAGAAAGCTGATAACTCCATTAGAGCAACAAGATAAACCATAGGCCAGCTAGTTTACCAGTGAGAACCAGGAAAAGAGACAGCTAAGGAGAGCCTTTCTGGAGTAAGAACAAACTTTGAAGGCTTGATTCAAAAACTAACCCAACAAAAGGGACTAAATTTAATTGGATCAGACTGTGGAGTATTTATAAGCCAGAACATTGGCAAAAACAACAGAGCAATCATCCAGCAATTAGTAGAGCCTAAAAGC